AACATGTCGCATCGCTCTATCGAGGGAAAGTTATATCGCGATAATTATCGTTATCGTTTTATCGCCCAGCGCTATTGTGACCTTCTTTATTGCACAAAAACCGACTGGCTCTGCTTTATACTGGCCTCTGGGAGAACCTCTGGTCTACGTTATGCATCTGGACTTAGAGGCTACGACCACCCTTGTATTGACCAAAGTCTTAGTGTCTTCAGGAGTCACAACCCTTCGTCGGTTGGTGGATGTGGCAGTACCGGATCTTGTGCATGTGAGATTAGGGGTGAGATCTCTCTGTGTTGTGGCTCATCTCCTCCAGGGCTGGAGGTCGGCCCTCTCTCCTGAGGAGTGGGAGCAGGTGAGAGACTACAGTGTGGGGGTGGTCAGGCCTTCAGAGCATGACCCCTTCCCACAAGTCATCATCATGCCTGACTTACAGGACTGCAAGGGCCCCCTTCTGGAGTGGGTGGGGGAATCCAGCGTGAACTTGAGGCCAGTGTCTGGTAAGCTGCTGTACAGAGCCCATGTGAAGGTGCTGAATAAGAAAAGACTGCGCAGTAGAACTGACACTCCTTGGTGTGAGGGCTTTAATCTAAGCCAGACTGGAGAGGACTGTATAAACAACCGTTAACTAAGAAGGTTGCTGATTTGCAGTGAGGTGCTACATGGTATTGTCCTCAATGCTTTTATTGCTGTTTTAAACCCTGAGATTTTACCCACAGTGTCCATTTTGTTTCCAAAGAGAAACAAACATGCTTTTCTGCATTGTTTTAGGCTGCATCCTTTATTTGACATTTTGAAGAGTGTTTTATGTCTCTTAATGTGACTTTTACACTCCAGACTTTTATCCTTGGCTTTAAGTATGTTAAGATGCTAACTGATCAACTTCATCCTTGGACAGGCAAAAAGTGATATATGTCTGTCGAAAAATAAAGGTGGGGCGTAGTACTGGATGTGATGCCACGAGGACTCTCTCTAGACTGGTTAGATCAAGGATTTTAATTGATTGTAATTATTATAAGAGCAAGTGTGATGTGGATGAGCTTTAAAACAGTGTGGTGCTGTGGAGAGGCGGTGTGCTGGGTGTATGATGACGAGCTCTGCTTTGCTTCTGAGGTCAGCTGAGCCAAAAGTTTTTTTGTTTTTGTTTTTTTCTTTTACTGTTTATAACGATATTTTATTGTACTTATTGATTTGTTTTAAAGTAATTTAAGATGACAGTGTGACAGCTGAGTGTTTCACAGAAAGACTTCCCCTTTCTCTTTCTCTCTTCCCCTCACTTTCACTCTATCTCTCTCTCTATTTCTCTCTCTATTTCTCTCTTATTCTCTCTCCCTTTCTTCTCTCTCTCTTACTCTCTCTCACTCTGTCTTTCTCTCTTTTTTTTGTGTCAAATTTAACTCCCCTGTTTTACCATAGAGCATTTTCTGTCCAAAACCTGAAACAGTTTTTCATGTTTGTACTGACTGTCCCAGGATGGTGCCACTCTTTGAGCTCCTAGGCTGAGCTCTCAGAGGATTGGAGATGTTGTTTACCTGAATTGTGTTTTAGGGTGTAAGTACACACAAGCACAGAGCTCCAAATGTATTATGACAAATTTCTCAGTGGGACAAGCAAAATTAGCAATATGGGAATTGTTTGGGCAGGTATCTGAAAGGCAGGACACAGATGTTCTAAAACCGTTTCAGGCATTAGTGGAATCATGCATGAGAGTGGAGCCGTCAGATTCCTCAACTCCCACAGACCCACACATACATAACACCTACATAGACCCACACACACACATGCATAACACCCACAAGGACCCACACATACATAACACACACACACATATATATATATAACAATATGGGACTAACTCACTCCCCACCTCTTGCAGCTCCAAATTATGGAACACTGTATAAATATAGTTGCTGCATTTCACTGAAACACTTCACTTTAACAATATTAGCTGCTAGAATTACTGTATCAACAAATACTGTATATTGCTGCTCTGGTTCCTACCTCAGTGACTGCTATGCTCATATATGCTAGGCTATCTGCTAATCTGCTAATATGTCATAGTATGTTACATCCTCCTTTGCACAGCTCCACATACTCTCAGTACCGTGTACTGCCTGTGTTCTGTTTGTATTTACTGTAAGTCTTTCGTATTTATTGTACTGTATTGTCTGCACTGTGTTTATTGTACACAGTGCAGACAATACAGAATGATCTGACTTAAGACTGACAGAAAATGCTCTATGGTAAAACAGGGGAGTTAAATTTGACACAAAAAAAAGAGAGAAAGACAGAGTGTGTTGGTCCTGGAGGAATGTTGTTTTGTTTCACTGTGTACTAGTATAAATCTGAAATGACAAAGCCTGACTTGACGTGATGGAGGACTTGATAGTCTCTGTAGATGATACAAGCGTGTTGTTTCATTGGTGAGTTTTCCTAATTGTAATCTGTATCCCCTGACTTTTTCCCTTTTTTTCTCTTTATTTAATATGGTGCTTCAATAAGGGGGGTTTAAAGTCACAGTCTCTCTTTCTGTCTGTCTGTCTCTTTTTCTCTTTTTTCTTTGTCCCTCTCTTTCCATCTCTCTCACTCTCACTCACTTACTTTCTCTCCTCCTGCTTTAAAATTGCTCCAAGTCTTAGTGGAATCACGCATTAGAGTTGAATTTGTTTTTATCAAACCACTGCTATTTCTGGTTTTCAGTGTTATCTGTTTTAAATAATCAACATGATGCCTAAGAATATACATTAAAGATTTAGTTACAATCCAATTACAGACAATACCAATAACTTAAAAAACTGAATAAAGCAGGTCGGGGCTACTGAATGAAGTTTGCGGATCCAGGAGATCTGGCTTATACTGGTGAGCTGAGCTGAATGATCTGACTTACACTCACAATCAGCTCTGCAACATTTACACTTCATTCACTAAGAGTTTATTTCCCTGATTCTGAATTGCAGAACTGACTGAGCTGCTTAAAGAGCTTTTAAATGATGCTCACTGTGATCAGCTGATTGTAAATAAAGTGCTGAAAGGACTGTTGGGTTTGCACAGCTGGTACAGATGTGTTGGGCTTTAGAGAGAGACTCAGGACTAAAATAATGGGTAGTCAGTAATCAATAAAGTAGTCATACTACAGTTTGAGAGAAGTAATTGGTCATTTGTAATGGATTACTATTTTTTGAGTAACTGCCTCAACACTTGGATCTGGGTGCCACATATGAGCTCATACAGATATATGGTTTAACACTTTCTTACATTTATGCAGGTACTAAACGCTTTAATTAATTTGTGCTCAGATGTCCCATTTTAGAAGAGTTGAATGGTTCAATGAGTTTGATGTGTTGAAAAATAAATTACCAGGATGTTGTTATTACAAAGCCGATGTGACACAGTAAGTGTCAGACAATATTTTATTTCATATAGCAGTGGGGAAAAAAGGTGAAGGAGTTTTTTTTTTTTTTAGGTTTTAATGGATGAAATTGATGCTGGACTGTGAACTACAGAGCCTGTAGCCTAAACTGAGCAGCAAGCAGTGTTACAGGTTACATTTTACAAGCTTGATCTGTAACTGCCCTCATGAACACTCACATTTATATCCTAGTGATGTCAGCCTGCAGTGTGTTGCTGCACATCTGATAATCTCAGGCAGTCAGAGTCACTCTGTGTTGTGTAGCTGTCTCACTATCAGAACGTCACTGTTTCCACACTGAATCTCATGATTCCTTTAGAATCTATCGAGGTCTGGACCTCAGTGTCTTTATGCTGGTTATGACCATGTACAGATACTCAATAACTCATAATGAAGATGTAACCAGTCAGAAAGGTTCAGACGCGTGTGGATAAAAGTGAAAGTACAGGCTTTATTAACACTAGGCAAAGTCATAGTCGAAGTACAGGCGGGGGTCAAAACCGAAAGGCAATAGATGATCACAAAGGTGATCATAACCACAATCAAACAAGTCCAGAGGGCGAGACAAAAGGCAGAGTCAAAAAGGCAGGCAAAAAAGGTCAAAATCACAAATCCCATAAACAAGCAAAGGTACCAAAGGAGCAAGCAAAAAACGTAGTCAGACAAAAAAACGAGATCAGGGTCAAAATAGTATAGCAAACCAGAGAAACCACTCAGTAAGTTCAAGCATGAAACAATACCTCGCAAAGATCCTAAGCTAAAGCCTGGGCTAATATACTGAACTAAATTAGTCATGTGACTAAAACACACAGGTGAAAACATTCAGAATTCTGGTGACTGTGAGCGCTGATAGGTGCGAGGCAGATCATCACTAGTCACATGATCTCCACTTGGCTGCTGGGTAATGGAGTCCACAAGGGATTCTGATTCCATTGGGAAGTCTGCCATCACGTGATCTCCCAGGTTCTCCTGGGAAATGTAGTCCATTACACTAGACGAGTCTCTAGCAGGTGTGACAGAAGAAAACAGCAAGCAGTTTATTAATATCACTTTAATAATGTCTCTCAGGCAATGTTTAAAGGAAAAAGTCACAACAGGCAGAGAAAATTATTCACAATGCATATTGCTTTGTATGAATAAAAATGCTACACAAAGTATTTTGCTTTTGTAATACTGTTACTAAGAAGTTTACATGCTAGTTTAATAATACTCTGTTTTCCAGTATATATACAGTATATAATTATCACTTCAAAAGCATTCGTTTAATTTAAAAACACTAAGCAGTGTGTCTTTGTCTGTAAAACTATATAACATTATAATCAGTACTAATAAACATAAACACAGGAGTTAGAATGTGTTGTTTTCAGTAAAGATCTAAAGATGTAGGTTAGACAATCACATTTAGAAGAACACAAGTTTGGTTCATCACATGCATCTGTTCAATTCATTACCTGATTTAATTTAATGAAGGTCTCATGAGATAAACTGCATATTGGATGGTAACTGTTAAGGCTGGACGATCTCCAGGAGAGCTTAGATGGCCTAAGACTTTTGCACTGTACTGACCTGGGTCATTTTGCTTCTTCAGTTTTAGTTACTCATCCCACAATTCAATCTTAATAATCGATCGACCAAAGGCAGACATTGTTCCCTTCACCAGAGCTCCTTCTCTAGAATATGTTATGACACTCCCTGTACCTTTTCCTCTAGTAATTGGATCAGTAGTTTTATTTTTCTTTATCTGCTTGTACAGTGCTTTATTACAGTTTGTGTTTGGTTCAAAAATGCCAAGATAAAACTTGTTTTTGTGAAAGTTACGGTCAAAAGGCACAGAAAACAAGATGACCAACTTGTTGGCCTGTTGACTAACATGTTCTGTTTCATTATTGAGGATTTGGTACATCAGGATTCCAACAGAACCACGGAGTGCATTTGTGGTTTTGGAGAAGGAGCACACTTCTTGGGAATTATTTTTGATGGTAGGTTGTGGAGGACAGTGACATTCTCCACTGGAGGTGTAAGTCCTGTTATACAGACAGAGATTATGATTCATAATGTTACATACAGATATGTAGCAGATTACAGGCAGACAGATAGTGTGAGGCAGACAGACATAAAGGGAAAACATAGTCACAAGCAGCAATTCAGAGGTCCATGAACATTTTCACAAGTATGACCATAAAATTCTGACCAGCGTGATGAGAGTTACTTTAAAATGTGACAGCAAAGTAATTTCTTTGTTGGTATCTGCATTTGGCAGATTTTAAACTATATATAATTTTTCTGGACTACTTACAGGTAACGACTTTTATAATGTGTGTTGAATATGGATCAATTGGATTGGATGTCACTTACTAATGTGATAATCTGAGGTGGTAAATTTGTTAACAGCTTTAAAATGCTGCAGTAAACTAACTTCATCTTTGGTTTGTGCATAGTATGACAGACTTTGAACCAAAATCTCCTTTTAACTACTGACTGGTAATGGCTGTTTTATACTGTGTTGATAGACAGGATGCAACTCACTAAGGTAATGAGCTGATTTAGTAAAATTTAGACCCCAATAACTTTAAAATACTGCATTAAAATGATGTTTGGTTTGTACATAACATAATACGAAATTTGTTGGATTTTTTAATATCTTTAATTTGACTTATGGTCATGGCTACCAAATTGGGTTAAACATTGGTGGCCAAAAAAGGATTTTTGTCGTATTAGAATGTTAGAACATATAAAATGTTGAGGATGTGGCCTTAAGCTGGCTATCAGCAACACCAGCAAAGCACCCAATTAACCAGCTGGGATACTATAGCTACCACAGCAAATATTCTCAACATTCTCTCTAATAATGTGTTCACTGTTACTACAAACTGGGTAAAGTTGTGATTGTAATTAATTCAGGTTTCCAGTGACATTGAGTTCTGCAGCTTAATGTCCCAGAAGCCCATTTTAGTCTGAGAGACACTCACTGACAACATTCATCTGTTCTTACCTTGGATTTGCTAAGATGAACTTTTTGCTGTTATTGGTGATTTGAATGCTGACATATCTGTCTGTGGGTATGATCCGGGATATTTCCTCAGCAGTGTTGCTGAACAATGATGCAATTGTTAAAGGATTCATTGCCTGTTGAGAATGAAAAAATAAACATTCATTATCATTTAAAGATGTTAGTGATTATTTAATGATGTGTAGCTTTTATCTTCGCAAAAAATGGGATACTAGCAAAAGTGGGCCAAAGAAAATCTTCATTCTGTGTTGCTCTTTGAATGACAGGAGATGATTACCTCAAGGGTGCTTCTCTGTGGGCTTTTGTTTTTTATTGAACTCGCAGCATCTCTTTTTGTTGTGGTCACAACATCAGAGTATTTTTTAAACACGTAAGGAAGGGCTCCCGAGTAGCGCAATTGTCTAAGCTGAGTTGGCACTATCATCAGGAGATCCCGAGTTCGATCCCTGGTGATGCTACTGCCATCCGTAGCCGGGTCTCCTAGAGAGCACAATTTGCCTCGCTCTCTCTGAGTGCCCCCCCACCCCACTTCTCCCCATCACTCAACGCGATGCTAGTCAGCGCAGGCGTCTGTTAGCTGACGTAACAGATCTGGCGGTTGGCACTTTCCTCCAAGCGTTTAGCTGTCCAATGACGTTGCGTTAGCGGCAGTTCGAAAACCTGCAGTGGTTGGCTTCACAGGTCTCGGAGGAAGCCTGTGCTAGCCTTCGCCCTCCTAGCGTTGATAGTATCGTGTGATTGGGGGAGTCCTAACTAGTGGGGGGAATTGGAAACGACTGAATTCGGCAGAAAATTGGGTAAAAATCCAAAAACTTTAGGCTTCTGAATGGCTGGTTCATGATTCCTCTGATTGTGTCCATCCATCTTGTTACTGATGTTACATTATGCTTGAACTCTTCCAAGCATAATGGTCTTTTCCAATGAACTGGTTCTTCTCAGAATATCTCCAAAGTACGAGCTTCAGTTTGGTTCTCTGGTTTAGAGTGAGAGAAGAGGCTTGATTTTGTTGAAGATACATTCATTTGTTGTCTTTGCTGTCCCAGGTACTCTTAAAAGTCCTGACCAACACCAAAACACAAAGATATCTACATTTTTCTGGTTTCGCTTTCTTACTGTTCGGCTTTCACATCTATAAAGAACCACAGAGAGGACCACAGCCTGGACATTTCTGATCTTTGTTATGGAGACAAATTGTTGCATTTAAAGATCTTTTCAAGCTCATTGATTCTTGTTCTGCTGAGCACCCATCTGTGTCATATCTGAGTGCTGGATCCTCTGTTGTTAATGACTGATGCATAGGGATATATAAACCTAAGAACTACAACAGAAAGAACTCTGTAGTGTTTTTTGAAAAATGATGGTTGGCCTATGAAAAACAAACAATGTATGTTGTTACAAAATTATATTTAATTATTTGAGTAAGTGGGGTTCACGTTCTGTCCCACTTCTGCTGAACGTGCGAGGAAAAGTAAGACCTGTTCAATAAACGATTTAATTAGGTGTGGTTTAAAGAACAGTATACAGATGTGCACTTATCTAATTCATATCATCACTCCCAGAACAAAACACTGCATCGGGTGGATCGGGTGCCCACTGCTTCCTGCTGTACAACACTGTGCAAACCTCACCTGCTTGAACTGACCCTCCTGATGACTCTGCTGCTGCACAGACCTGAACTATTTAATCAGAGTCATGACTTCTCCTGTTTCTCCCCTTTTCTGTGTGTTATATTAATGGTAAAACCTGATTCTTTGTTCATTTTGCTCTTGTGTTACTGTTTGCTATCTGGTGTCGACCAGAGGAGGATGGGCTCCCCTTTTGAGTTCCTCTCAAGGTTTCTTCCTCTTGCTCTTAGGGAGTTTTTCTTTCCACTGTTGCCACTGGCGACACTCATGGAGGCTTGGACCCAGATTTTTCTGTAAAGCTGCTTTGTGACGACAGCAAGAATGGCCTGAGTTCGATTCCCAGCTGGGCGACCAGGGTCATTTCTGTGTGGAGTTTGCATGTTCTCCCCGTGTCTGCGTGGGTTTCCTCCGGGTACTCCGGTTTCCTCCCACAGTCCAAAGATATGGAGTCAGGCCAATTGGACATGCTAAATTGCCCCTAGGTGTGTGTGTGAATGTGTATGTCGGTGTGTCTGCCCTGCGATGGACTGGCGACCTGTCCAGGGTGTATCCTGCCTTCTGCCCAGTGACAGCTGGGATAGGCTCCAGCACCCCACCGTGACCCAGAAGGATAAGCGGTTTGGATGATGTGTGTGTGTGTGTGTGTGTGTGCTTTGTGACGACACCTGTTGTAAAAAGTGCTACATCAATAAACTTTTACTTGACTTGACCTAACCTGACCTTTTGAAATATCAGTTACCCTTCACATTGTGTAAAAATTTCATAATGAACGGACGGATAGAAATGATTCAGAATAACTAAGAATAAAGTCATTTTAACTTGACTTCCATTAAATGTTAATAATACAGTATTTTTACCATTTTGTATATACAAGATTTGTGTCCAACAATATATCATTACACACTTTTTCACAGGATTTTATCTTTTGTTGGGCTCCAGGTGGCGAGTTTTTTTGAGATGCTGACACTGTGCCGTGAATTAATCCTAACTGATGCAACATCCAACTGTAACTGAGCTCTAAAAACCTTTGTTTTGTGTTTTTTTTGTATTAGACACATTGTTGCTCATTAAAAAATGGACATGTGATGGAAAACATGGAAGATAAACAGCAGCTTCTATTATCTCAGCTGAGCCTGGTCTCCCTGCTTGCACCGTGTTATGCGTTTTAGACCACTGACTTCCCTCCCCCCTGGGGGAGGGGCTGTAACACAAAACACATATGATTTACATTTATCAATCATATCAAGAAGGCATCGGACTGTCTGACAATGCTGAGAAGTGAAAAACACCCTGCCTGGCACTTTATCAGAAACCCCTCCCTTGTAGATCCATCTTATTGGTGTACAGTTAGAGACTGAGAGAGTAGCCAGTTCCTTAGAAACTATCTTGTGGTAATTGTTTCCTGTGAATGGAAGCACAAGGTAGGTGTTTCTAATAAAGTGGCCAGTTGCTGGAAGCACAAGGTAAGTGTTTCTAATATTCTTCTATTGTTTTGATGCATCATAAAAAATAAATCATTTGTCATACAGACTGAACTTTTGAATGCTTCTATTGCAATGATTCCATTTCTTAAAACAGCTGTTTGATCTTTTATTTGCAATAATCATTCATGTAAACCTTCTCCCTCCATAAGAACAACAGCAACATATGAAATATGTCTAAATGACGACATGGCAAAGTTAGTGTTTCGCATGTTATGTTTTTTAGTTAAAGTCACAGGTTATTTTATCTTTTCTAATGACACTCAGACGGCTTAGTTAAAGAAATACGCCCTTGTATCTTTTTTCTCACTGTGTTCTTCTGGTCAGCAGCTTTAGCTACAGTAATCCAAGTGAATCACCTTCAGGAGAACACCTTCTCTCACTTTCTGAAAAAATAAACTGTTACTTGTGTAGCTTTGTGTTTAACTCTGTATAAAACATCACATTTATTTGATAATCAGCTAAAAAGAAGAGCCCACCTGTGTCCCACAGCACAATGGCTCTTTGCGTGCAGTTCTGGACTTTATAGTAGGTGGAAAACTGACAGCTACTCAGAGGTTTCATGCTCCACCCAAAGGCACACTTCTTAGGCAACTTATTTTGGCTCTTGTGATAAGAACTGGAGAAAGAGCTTTCCACTATAAACACACTGGATTAAACATGCACAACGCTGTCATCACACAAGCTGACAAATCTTATCACATCCAGCATGTTTTAACCTGTTTTAATAGAAGGACTACAACCTGGCACTGGTACAGTTTGCATTCCTTCAGTGAGGATGTGACTACCCTTGTGAAAAAGCAGTATACTTGAATATGATATTATTCTACTTATACTTTATTTGGTGTGCTAATTCGTTAATGAAGAGTATTTATTTAAGTGAAACGATTTAATAAAGAGTATTTATT